TAATTATAGTAATAATAGTAATAATAGTAATAATAGTAACAATAGTAGTAATAGTAATAATAGTAATAATAGTAATAATAGTAATAAGACCCAGCAAGAAGCATTCCTCGAAGTTTCTGGCGGAGCTCGTGCCAGAAGTCGCTCTAGAAGCGCATGGCTGATGCTCCTGATTCAGACCTCTGCAGAACTGCATGACATGCTCACTCTCCAAGCCCATTATGCATGCGCATCTTGCTTTGATTGTTGTCGCTATTCCTGTCCATGATCCTGCTGACGTCTGCTAGTAGTTGCATGTGGCCATGACTAATTTGAGATCCGCATGGTCATCCTCATGAATTGGGAGTTTCCCAAGACAATTCCAACTGCTTAGACAGCATCCCTACTGTCCACCTTTAATCCCTTCATAGCCCATTTGTCTACGATGTTTTCTGTTATCGCAGTTGCGCAGAGTAGCCACATCACCCTAAACCCTGAACCCAAAAATCTCAGACCCCCAGCCCCTAGACCCCAAAGAGCCTAGGTTCAGCATGTACGCGTCCATCTCCTCCCATAGCTTCGGCGTGACCTTGCAGCAAGGGCTTGGGATTGTGACGTTCAGGTTTGTTTCTTGAAAGGGCGTGGGTATAGGGAGGTGTAGAGTTCAGATAGGCTTCAGGTTTAGGGTTGCGGGTGTTGTAGAGATCATCGCAGTCTAGTTATTTGGTCTCTCACGGCTGTAGTCAGTGCTTGGCATCGAGTTTGGATGTTGGGCTTGATGGTTGAAGGTATTGGCAGGGGTTTGCAGTTTGCAGTTTTGGGGCGCAGCCAGTAGGAAATCTCTTAACCCTTCGCGCCCTGCAGGCAAATATCTGCAAACAACAATAATCTAAATAGGGCCTCTTCTGGCACGTCAAGACATGCTGTGTGCGCGATAGCCGTGGGCAGTGCGCTTGGGAGCCGAGAGTTCTGAAGGTGTGGAGTTTGTGGCCTGAGCGTTAAGACGAGAGGTGTTTGAAGCTTTTAGTTTAGGGCGTTGCAATGCAGTCAAGAAGGCGACAGGGTTTTAGGCCAGTTAGACCTCAAGATTGCCCGGAACCCCAAACTTTTCAGTCCCAAGATGGCTGCTTTGTTGTCACTTTATGGTAAGGGTCTTTACTATGGTAAGGGTAGCTGTGATTGCCAGACCCAAAACCCTATCCGGGTCGCCCGAGCTGCAGGTGAGTAGTATTTTATTTGGGGATATTATGGTACCCATTATAGAGTAAGATTATATCCTCCTTTTGGAGTATAGTATTTTACATAGGAAGATAATCTTACTGGGTTTAACCACCAAAAAAACACTACTCAGGTGCGACTTCTCACGCGTTTTGTGCGGCTCCCGATCCCCGGAAGCCAGCAGACGCCTGCCTGCAAGCCTCTTTTTGGTTTAGGAGTTTAGGGTTTAGGGTTTAGGGTCTCATGTTGGGGTCTTTTATCACAAGGACCCAGTTTGTTTGGGGGGTAGGAAGGTCAGAAGAAGGATCAATTTGTTCTAGGATTTCTAGAATGCCCTAAAGACTGAGTGGCTTGGGATTTTGGACATCTTATCATAATGGAGAGCCACATGGAAAGCTCAATGGACATGACATGGACAACACTATCTAGAGGTTTGGGAGTTTATTGGGTATATATATATATATAATGGAAACCTGGACTTATGTAGGTGTTTGTGGGGATTAGTGTAAGTAAGCCTTAAACCCTAAACCCGGGGAGGCACTGGGCCCCTGGTTTGAACAGGTTTCAAGAGATCCCGGAAGAGTCTCATCCGCTCTCAAGAATCCATGCGAGCTATAATCTAAACTGCTTAAAGGGATGTATATACGGGATTATATAGGGGAGTGTTACAGGGATCATTAAGGGGGATACTAGGACCTCAGATGAGAGCTCATATAGGGCCTTGGGCTAAGGGGTGGGTAGTCAAAACGTTGCGAGGTCTGCGGAACATTGGAACACCTCCGCAAAATTCGTCACAGCTAGTTACCGTAGTCAGATCCACTAAACGCCAGGCGTACGTGGTTTCTAATTATTCTAAATTGTGCAGTGTAGACTTTCCCAAGGCATCTTTCAGGACCTGTCAAAGGCGACCATCCCATGAGCTGTTCAGCATGCTTTGAGTAGAGCTTCCTTAAACCCCCAAACCCTAAACCCTGGCAGTCTCTGAAACTCAAACCCCAGCCTCAGCGGAATCTGAGGATCCCGGGCCCAGGTCTACGTAAAATAGGTTAGCTTCGAAACTCGGGAGTAAAACACTTGTATGGGGTACCCCGAATTTTGGGAAACCCTCATCCCTATAGACCCCTGCGTAATCTGGGTTTCCCTTTTCTCAGTTGATTCTCCCTTATTCGGGTAATATGTCCCTAAACCCTAAATAATACTTTCTATTTTCTTTTCCGTTATCCCAATCTATCCCCATTGCCGGCAACTCTTCAAGGATCAATGCGCTCAATGCTCGTCTTACGGACTTTGAGCGCCCCTCGCACGCAGGGTTTTAGGGTTTAGAGGTTTCTTGGGTTCAGGATTTAAGGAAGGAGTCACCGAAGGCAGGGGCTCCGAGTGTAGGAAATGGTTCTGGGTCTAGGACGAAGTTTTTTCCGTTGGAGCTCTTTGGGAGTTTAGGGATTACTTAGGGCTTCTGCCCTTGGGGTTTGAGGTCTGGAAAACTTTCGATAGTTTCGACAGGCCCCCAGTCCGGATAATCCATTAACTGATACAAGGAAATGCTGCAAAAAGTCCCAAAGTTTGAATTGTGGATGCGCCGTGGTAGATGTCGAATTTCCATGAACCCTCTCCCTCATACCCATACCAAAATACTAAAACCTTTCACTCGCAATATTGAATCTTCCTCGGGGGGTGATATTAGTATGAACGGTGCTTCCAAGCACGCATGAGCTACGGCATGGCCTGGGTCGGGGGCGGCATAGAGCCCCAAACTTTCCGCAAACCCTGCCAAGGCCACCCCCCAAACCTAAATCCCTGCAGCCAAAGGGGGTGCCTTTAAAATCCCAGCTCCAAAAACCGACCAGGATGGAAAAAGGGAAGGCCAGTGAAACCATATTTCGGGCCTAGACCCAATTCACCTTAAACCATGAAACGCCAGTAAGCTAAGGACCTATAACAGTACCTATAATACAGCAATATTATCCTAAACCAGTAAGTCAAGGACAGGGCAAGAAGATCATGCGCATCCCTTTCGCGGGATCCGTGCCGCAGTGGCAGCAGAGGAGGCGCCTCCCCAAGACGAGAGGGTCATGGTAGGATTAAGGATCTAGGGTTCGAGGTCTAGAGTTTTGGGTTTAGGGTCAGGGTTGAGGGTTGAGGGTTTAGGGACTTAGGGTTGAAGGTTTAGAGTTTAGGGCCTAGGGTCCATCGCAAACTTGATGCTTGAAATCCCCAAACCAAAATCCCAAACACCCCTACGCCTCGGAGCTCGCCGCCCCAACCCCCAAAACCCTGGCTCCGAAGTGCCCAGATCCCACGTGGCAGAAGCCTGAAAAGTCAGTCATATTCTCCTTTGCAATGAGTAGAGTATACTTGTAAGATCATATATTTCGAAAAATATGGTAATCGTTCAGGCCCCAACATTCAGGAATCCCCACAGGCCACAGAGTTTTCACTTCATGTGTCATTTCCTTGTCCATTTAAATCTCCACTTCTCTAAGCATTTACGAAAAGCTAGACCCTACATAAAACCCATAGGCTCTTAAAGGGGCCCCAAAACCCTCGTTGTGATTTTTTAGATCCTTAAACCCTAAACCCTACGCCAGGGACCTCCAGAAAGGGCCGGACCAGCAGATGGGTAAGGGCGAGGCGTACTTTGTCGAGTCATTTCTTGGATGATGGGGAGTCTATAGGTACCAATAATAGTAGTAGGGACTGGGAAATAAAATGGCAAGTATAGGGTTGGTCTAGGGGATAAGGGAAAATCAAATGGAAAATCAAATGGAAGTGGGGCTTATTTAGGGGTCTGTAGTGCTTTTTGTAGGTTCCACAGTATAGGTCAATATATGTATATATATATATGTATATAAAGGGATACCCATATATATATATATTCATATATATGTGTATCATATATTCTTTTGGGGGTATAATAGCTATACGCAGAATGCAATACTTTGGGTAGGGAGGGGCAACAGTTGCTGGCAAGCAGTTTCTAATTTTGGTTTTAAGAACTGTAGGGTTTCGGGGTTTAGGCTTTAGGCAGGTGCAGCGTTTTGGAGCCTTTACTGTGCTGTGATTGCTCGGGATGTTTGCGTCGGGGTAGGTTTGGCATATGGCCGACGCACACAGCAAACCCTACACCCGTAAACATAGGCATGCAGTCTAGTTTGCGTCATGGCTCCCTTGTCAGGTTCGCTGCCATTTGATTTCGTCAGGTGTCTACAATCGATGTGGCTTTGAAAGCCCGCCCGCCCGCCCGCCCCAGACAGGGCAGGGTCTAATAGGATTTTGGGTGTGTTGGCCCAATGGCCAAGTTAACTAGGGGTGAAACACTTCCCGACATGAGGAGGGGGATGGGCAAGGGCCTTCCCCCTCCCAATGATCCTGACACATCTTGCAGCCAAATAAGTGTGCCCATGCCTGTTGTAGGGTAGAGGGTTAGTTCGACTAGCCTATTCCAAGAAGAACCCCAGGATATGTGAGGCAGTTTGGCATCTTATCAAATCCACCAGAGGCATTCTGTTGTTTTTCTTCATGGGATACGCCTCTCCCAAACTAACGTGGAACCAGACTACTCTCCTGTGTAAAGGCAGGTGAAGGGGCTGCGAGGTTAGTTTGGGAACAAGGCAGTACTGAAGACCTTTCTACCCAATATTTCCCAGATATTTATCACTCAACGGACCACACCGCCTTCGGACCCTCAAAGTATGCATCCATAGTGCGTGTGCTGAGAAATCCCGCTTTTGGGCAGACGCCAAAGCGTGCCGACTCGCGCGCATGGCCCTAGCAAAAAAAACCTTTCAACCGGCAGCGGACGGCAGGGGGACGAGAACTTCTACACTGCCGTGGTGAAACCGGGGCAGATGAAGCAGCAGGCGGGCTTGGAGTTAAGAATTGCGTGGGTGCAGTATAGTACTATAGTAGTATAGCAGTACCGCAAAATAGTAGTACATTAGAGTAGTATAGTAATATGTCGGTATAGTGGTTCGGGGGTTTCGGGGCCTGGGGTTGAGGTTGGAAGAGCTCGGCTTGCGACGTTGAACCTCGAGGGTTTAGGACAAGCAGCCTGCAGCTTTCCCCTTGGTAGAGTCAGGGGGAGTCTCGGGCCCCAACATCAGCCTCTCAATCCGTGGGCTCATGTGCAGCCATCTCAAATCACGTCGCTGTCTTGTCTTGCCCCCTGACTTCAACATTCCCCACATAGTCCAGGCCGGAGGCATATGAACCAAGCTTGCGAGAATCATAGGCTGCCGAAACAATTTCCGAACGTGTTTGACACCCACCTATGATTGAAACCATGTGAAGGCCAAGTCCTGTGATGAGTTTCTGAAACCCACGCTCCAGCAAACGATCCCTGGAGACCAATCCGTAAGCCTCAAATTGGAAGCGCAGCCTTCCCCAATATAAGTTAGGAGGACCTCCCACCCTGTAATAGTGACTGCAAAGGAGAATAATGAGTATATGAGGGTCCGATTATATTCTTATTGTGCCACCATTCCAGAGGAGGGGGCCTCCTAATGTATAAGTGACTGGGCTAAAGGCCGTTAAGCCTTTCGCAGTTGGCGGGAAGCTCCCCGGTCATTCAGATTGTTGAATTCTTCTTCGTGGCATATTTGCATTGTTGGAATGGCTATACTTTTTCCTCAAGGGTCTACGCCCTAAGCTCCAAGTTTTAAGATAGTTGAAGAAATTAACAGCCTTGAGCCTCAAAGACAAGCCTAACCCCCAAACATTCTAAGAATTTGGGTACTGCCCCCCCCTCAGCAACAGTTGGATAATATTTATATTATGGTTATATATAGCGCTTAATAGGACCCCTAATATAGACTGTTACTTGGGGGAGGGGGGCAGTACCCAACTAAGAATCCTTTTTGTTGACAGGACCTCCTGGAGGAGGGCGTCCAGGCTTTCGCAGACGATGAAGTTGGCCTACAGGAGGCTTCAGCTTACGGCCCGAGTTAAGGTTGCAATACTCTAAAATCCCAATAGCTGAACTTCAGCGGTTCGAGTGATTTTTGTTCAAACAATTTAGTTTAAGTTTTTCATGAACTCCTATGGCCTCAGGTTAGGGGTTGCAACGCTATATTTCCTCATTGGCTCCTTTAGCACCGGGGGGGGTATGGTATTCAAATCCCTTGCTGAGGGTTTTGGGGGTTTGTAAAGGCAGGGCCATCATAACTTTGCTTAGGGATTCCTGATTCCTAGGGTCACATTCGTGGGGGTTCAAGGCTCAGAGCTTTGGAGCCGCTGTCGAACGCTTCATGAAGGATGTGAGAGGGAGCTTAGTTTTGTGGCTGCATCTATGGCTCAGGGGAAGGGGCGGCCGGATGTGTAGTTTTTAAGAATTTCCCTGAGTTGTAGGGCATTTTTCTCTGTTCGCTTCTAGTGCGCTGCTTCCTCAGTTCATTACTGCGTGATGGTCTGGGCTAGGTAGTGTGCGGCGTCAGCGGGGCTGGTGGGGCTCCGAGGCTAAGGGTCACGGTAGGCTCTCTAGTCCAGGGTGGGTGGGAGGGTGGGGGGTTTGGAAGTCAGTTTGGGTTGCAGGTTTGTTTTTGTGTGGGCTACCGCGGTCGGGGGAACCCATAAGGATTGTTGGGTCTTGCTGTTGTTCTTGCCATCACTAGTTTCATCAAGAGCCTTGGAGCTCGAACCCGGCTTACTACCCACAAGCTCCTCAACCCTACGCTCTTCTCCGCACCAAAACACTGCACCCAGACAGCCTAAGCCCTAAAACCTAAACCTTAAACTCTACACCTTGATCCAAAATCCCTAGACCTTGAATCCTAAAACCTCAACACCCTGAAGGTATAGCACTTGCATCCTAAATCCTAAACACCCTAAACCCTAAGTCCTACCTTCACATCCTCCAAAAAATTCTGGGTCACTGCCAGGCAGCGCAGAACCTGCCCGGGAAGCACGTGCGGCTCTTCCGGGAGCAGCCCGGCGGAGTGAAGAGCTTCTTTAAGGTTTAGGGTTTGATGGTTTAGGGTCTAGGGTCTAGGTTT